CCTCATATGCACTACTACACAGTTGATTATCGCCAGGTAGCATCTTTTTAATCAAAACCAGGAATTCAGTAAAGCACTTATCTGAAACACCATACTTGCTCTTCACATTGATGAGTTGAACAGCTGCCGACAACTTTGTGAAATCTGCACATCCCTTGTAAAAGGGCTTCTTAGCATCTTCTAATGAAAGAACCCCTTTCTAAACTTTACAATATTATTCCAAACATGCTACATGCATATTCATAAAAATATTTTACATATATGGTTTTATTACAAAAGACTGGATACAAACCGACTAACGAGTTTTTACAAAGTTTTATATATTACATAACTTCCCAGGAATTTATACACTAAACACAAACACTATAATATTATCTATTCTACATCTTCTAACAATACGTATCTATATTGGATGCTTATCACCTGCAATAATTAAACACTGAGACGGATAAGCGGTGACGCTTAGTGAGTTCAAAAATAGATACAATATAACGTCATGCCATATATATACCAATATGACAGAAGCAAAGAGGAACAAAGAACAACAAAGGCAGATGCGTATCATATGACTTGCTTTCCATATCAACAAATAATCTGATTCAAATATTTGCAATCAATGAGACATAACAATTTCAAATTGATATACATCAATAAGACTTCTGCCTATATGGCATGGAAAAATAAACGATTTCTGAATAAACATTTTGCTAGCACTTTACAGGCTTTTCAGCCCAACCTAGCCTTCTGCCTATGCCAAAGGAATGCTTAATCATTCACTTCATGGTAAAAGGCTACATACCAGTACCCAAGTGATGCTTAGTCATTCACTTCAAGTCAAAGGTATAGCTCTGTTACCAAAATAATACGAGACATGCTCTACATGGCCAAAGGCTCAAAGCCAATACCAGAAGTTATACAAGTCATACTCTACATAGCCAAAGGTATAAAACCAGAATAACACATGAAAGCACATTGAACATATAACACATAACATACAATTGTCCCTATATTGAACTTACCGTGAAATAACCGGAGGTTAAAATAGTAATTTGGGCAGCACTTCGTTGCTAGAAAAAAATGCTTTATTGTTGAGGTGAAAAGTGTGAAAAGTATGAGAAATTGGGCTAAAAATGGTGAAGGAACCGGGAAATCTCGCATCCTATATATAGGTGCGAGGGTTCGAACCGAAGGTAGGAGAGAACGACACGCGGCAGCTTCGCAGGTGAGGGGGAGGGCATGCGTCAGCATTGGATTGGACCTGCGTTTCAGATGACTCACCTACTTTGGACACGGCGCGGCTCACAAGGGAAGGGCGACGTGGCTCGCTTCGGTCATGCCACGGACCAGACACGCGTCTCGCATGCGCAGGTGCTACATGGCCGAACCTGGACCATGCACATGCGGATTTTCTCGGTTTTTGTGCCCTGAACTTCAAAAATTCATAACTTTCACATACGAGCTCCGTTTTCGACGTTCTTTATATGCACGTGTAGGCGCGATTATACTCTACAGGTTTCGTTTAGACTCTATTGGCTAATTCTGATTTTATTTTTAATATTATTATTTTTAACAGACCGGGACAGGAAAATCCGTTAAAAATTCATAACTTCTTCATCCGACGTCCTTTTTCGTCTGTCTTTTTACCGTTGTACTACTATTGACGAGACCTTCGATTCTCGTTTAGGTTGTGTCGGCTAAAAATCACTCGATCTTTATTTCGAGTTTTTAGCTGTATACTGCTATACTGAAACTTAGAAAAATCATAACTTCCTCATACGAAGTCAGATTTTGACGTTCTTTTTATAAAAACTATCGGTTTAACGAATACTACGACTTTCATTTAGATCACTAAGGCTAAAAAGTAGTTTATTGAAAACTCACTTTTTACGCTAAATAGTGTTTTGTCGGGTTTGTCGCGGATCTTCGATTGGTCATAACTTCTTCGTTATAACTCGGATCTCGATGAGGTTTTCGCCTAAATGTTTCTAACGAGATAATCTACAACTTTCAATAACATTATTTTTATTTATTTCCAACTTTATATTTTCGTTAATTTCAATAGTTGACTTTTGATTGGAATTTCATAAGACTTCCAATACTTCCCGAATGATTCTAAACATAGTTTTACTTCAATTCTTCATAAAACTATCTTGTTAGAACTCAACACTCAAAATCATATATTAAATAATATTCATTTTTAAACAAAATATGATAACTGAACGTGTATGTTACATCATACGAAGTCAGATTTTGACGTTCTTTTTATGAAAATTCTCGGTTTAACGAATACTACGACTTTCATTTAGATCACTAAGGCTAAAAAGTAGTTTATTGAAAACTCATTTTTTACGCTAAATAGTGTTTTGCTAGTTTTGTCGCGGATCTTCGATTGGTCATAACTTCTTCGTTATAACTCGGATCTCGATGAGGTTTTCGCCTAAATGTTTCTAACGAGATAATCTACAACTTTCAATAACATTATTTTTATTTATTTCCAACTTTATATTTTCGTTAATTTCAATAGTTGACTTTTGATTGGAATTTCATAAGACTTCCAATACTTCCCGGATGATTCTAAACATAGTTTTACTTCAATTCTTCATAAAACTATATTGTTAGAACTCAACACTCAAAATCATATATTAAATAATATTCATTTTTAAACAAAACATGATAACTGAACGTGTATGTTACATCTAATAGTTTTTTAAACTTTTCAGGATTGTCTACGAAATTTTGTTCTGTGGCTTCAACCATCTCTATTGTTTGTAGGGCATTTGTAGGAATTCCTTCATCTGCAAATTATGTTGAATCCACAAAGAATGATGTCTCCCTTGTATACTTTTTTTTAGAAACCACATTACTTGTTGGGGTCTCTTTTTCTCCATGCTTAGTCCAGTTGGTATAGTTTTCATCGATTCCATATCTAAATAAATGAAATTCTACAGTCTCAACAAGTTGGCATATATCGTTTACACAATCGGTGCATGGACATGGAATTTTTAGTTTCTTTAAACGTCTATCAGGGTCAATATTCATCGCAACCTTGTAATTGGTTATGGTATAATCAATAAAGTTTAAAACACTATCCCTATATCGTTGTGTGTTTCTAGGAACCTCCATCCACGTCTTATCCATATTAATATATAAATTACGTTTAATATATCTTCAACCAATCATCTACAGTTAATGAATATTCAGAATGCTACTTACATTGATCAATCCCAGCCGGGCGCATAAGAAAAGGTTGTAGTTGTTGAAGATACTAAAGTTAACTTTTTCTGATTTAGGATCGACGAAGTATGGTATGTTGTTTGCGTAATATTGAAACAAATTAAATAAATTAATACATGTCAATTACACCATTAACTATTTTTATTATGTAAACCCAATAATTAATAATAATGTAAATTACATGGGTCTAGGGTTATGGGTTGGTTCTATGATCTTCTTCTTAGGGAGCATGCATGTTAGGTACGACCCATGACACTGAATCGATCGAGTGAATAGATATACTATATGTGGCCAGGTCTAGGGTTATAGGTTGGTTCCATGATCTTGTTATTAGGGAGCATGCATGTTGGGTTCAACCCATGACCCGTAATCGATCGAGTGGATAGATACAATGCATGTTGTTGGGTCTAGGGTTATGGGTTGGTTCTATGATCTTGTTGTTAGGGAGCATGCATGTTGGGTTCGACCCATGACATGTAATCAATCGAGTGGATAGATACACTACATGTGGTTGGGTCTAGGGTTATGGGTTGGTTCTATGATCCTGTTGTTAGGGAGCATGCATGTTGGGTGCGACCCATGACCCGGAATCGATCGATTGGATAGATACATTGCATGTGTTTAGGTCTAGGGTTATTGGTTGGTTCTATGATCTTGTTGTTAGGGAGCATGCATGTTGGGTTCGACCCATGACCCGAGATCGAATGAGTGGATATATACACTATATGTGGTTGGGTATAGGGTTATAGGTTGGTTTTATGATCTTGTTGTTAGGGAGCATGCATGTTAGGTACGAGCCATCACTTGGGATCGATCGAGTAGATAGATACACTATATATGGTTGGATCTGGGGTTATGGTTTGGTTCTATAATCTGTTGTTAGGGAGCATGCATGTTGGGTACGACACATGACCCGAGGTCGATCAAGTGGATATATACAATGTATGTGGTTGGGTCTAGCGTTATGGGTTGGTTCTATGATCTTGTTGTTAGGGAGCGTGCATGTTGCGTACGAACCATGACCCATCTTGCATGTATGCACTCCATACACCATAATTAATCGAGTGTAAAGGTATATTGTATGTGGTTGGGTCTAGGAATTACATTATTTATAATATTTAAAATAATTTTGATTCATTTATCTTTTAATTATATGAATTTCTAGGCTAAATTGAAATATTAATCTAAAAGGATCAATAATGTAGTTATTTTTAAAATATTTCAACGATCCTGCCACATAATTCCTTAAAAATTTCAAAATTTTCAAATCAATTTTAGGGTTCCCGAGTATGTATCATAACATATTTTGGAAGCAGTTTGAATTTATCAACACAACTAAAGAACGAACGTGGGTTTCAGAAAACGATTGCAGGATGAATTTCGCCTCCAACACAAAGTGGGAAGTCATATTAAATGTCACCGGTAAAACTATACTAATTCGAATCTTCATAGAAACCGTCGACATATTAGGTAAGCAACTTTAATCTTGGAACTGATTATTATAAACCCTAAACACCGCTTTTAAGTATTCCATCACAACCGAAGTGTTCTTCGTTGACTAACATTAACGACTGCTAAAGGGCTCATATACACCACAAAGGTGTGTGTTTTCTGTAAGTATTTCAATAAATCTTACAATTACTTTGCTATTTCATTATGCTTGATGATGCTATACATTAATTTCATATGTGAAATGTGTGATACAACTTACATTATTAAAATAATAATCATATTGAAACTCAATGTTTCATGTATGATGAAGCATCATGGACGAGGAAAACAATATGTATGATGACATGGCAGAAGATGAAATTGAAAACCAAGCGTATTCTGATGAAGAACAGTTAGAAAACTTTTTTGATGATGACAGGCAAAATTATTCTGACGTAAATGAAGATGAAGATAATATCAACGCTGAACTTAGTAGTGAATCAGATGGTAATTCATACGAAGAAGAATCTAGACAAAAAAAGCAATCATTACAAAGCCACCAAGGAAGTGGGGATTGAAATAAACTATCTAAGATCAGGTCTAACTTTATATATTATGGTTGTAAAAGAAAACGTGTAAGATTTGACAGATGTGGAAAGCTAAAAGGGAAGTATAGGTCAGAATTTCCAATTTTTTTGGGTAACCTAGTACGTGAGAGGATTGGTCTTAGTATCACCGGATGGAAGAAGGTATCTAAAGAAGTTAAGGACAGATTTTGGGATAAGATAATGGTATAAAATAATAGTTTTCAGTCATTTTTTTTCTTATTGCCAATTGCAATTTAGTTTGATGCCTAACATAAAACTTCTTATTGTTACAGTGTTACTATAAAATTGATGTGAGTCGAAGACCAAACGTAATGAATCGGCTTGGAAACCTTCTAAGGAACTTTAGACGTAAAGTTTACGATAGGGACATAAAGCCCTAGTTAAACAATCCGGATAAACTTAAAAATGTCCCTAAACGATTACGTTTTATCATCCTTGATATTGTTATGTACATGACAAATTGGTATATTCACTTTATTATTAAATTGTGATTACTTGTGTTTCTTTAGAATAATTGTTTTTTTAATGACTATAAGATTGAAGAAAAGGTAATTGGTAAAGATGAACATGCCCCCCCTCCCCCCGTCCATTAATGTCGTGTCAAGCCTATCAAAATAAAGAATGCCACATTGTTGATCCAAACGCCAGAGTGAAAGTAGATGAGATTGTTAGTTTTATGAGTTTTATACTGTTTTGATAAGTTTATGTTATTTGACCATTTTTTCGACAATTTTTCTATTAAGCTTGAAAAAGAAAATGAAGTTCGAGAAGGAGACTTGCAGCTTGATAAGGATATGGATGTAATAACACTAGTATTTGGCAAGGAAAAAGGTAGGTCCTTCAAGGGGGTTGGCTTCGGAGTTACACGAAACAAGTACTTTAATATGCCGAGAAGCAAGAGATCTTCAAGCAACGAGATGAGTGAAATGAGGAAAAAGATGATAAACTAAAGGAGGTTATGAAACAAAACGAAATGTTAAAACAAGCATTGTCCGCACTCAGAACTCAAGGAATGGAGGTACTAGGTCTATTAATGCCAGAAGATTTTCTTGTATCACAAGTGAGTAAAGTCTCCTATTCAACCCATTCAATACATTAAAATTTTCAATATGATACTTAATATCCATACAAAAGAAGTTTGTTTATTTTTTAATTTATATGAGTTATATTTATAATTTTCCTATTTTTTGATGCATGTACCTTTATCAGTGGACAAGACTTTTGAATTAGAGCCCACTGCAATCTGTGACAATAATCTAATAAAGACAAATGAGTTATCAAGACATGTAAGTAATAAGTTAACATCGATGTACTACGGAAGATAGATTTATGGTATTTTGATTAAATGTAGTTATACTTTTCTTCTTTATTTTTAAAGGTAATTTCATCAGCGGGCAATAATGTTGGATTAGAGCCCACTCCAGTCACAACCAAGAATAAAACAAAAGCAAAGGTATCATTAGCATCAATATGTAATTACTTAACATTGTTATAATGCATACTTATACTTTTTTCTTTATTTATTCAGGTAATGTCATCTGTGGGCAACACTGTTTCATTAGAGACCACTCCAATGAATAAAAAAATGCAAATCACATACAATCGAGTCCATAACACCAGTAAGTACAATGTTAACATTCTTTTATTACAGAAGATTGTTTTTTATTTACATATAGTCTACTTATACTTTTCTTTTATATTTTTGTAGGTAATTTCTGTAGACAAAGTTGTTGCATCTGAATGCACTCCAACACAGGAAAAATTACAAACAACACAAACGAATCAGTTTCTCCAGTAAGTAAAAAATTGAAACTTCAAAACTTTTAATATATTATTTCCACTTATTTAAGATTACACACATTTGAGTATATTTATGGTTTTCAGGAATTTGGAAAAATCAAGAAAATAAGTTTGCATCCAAAAACACCACAAACTTAGGCACCAAAATACATACAATTATGTATTGCGTCATCCTATAATTATATATATGCTCTAACTATGCTATAATTCTTTGTAGGAGATAAACTATGATCTATACATAGCAGAACGAATAACAAGAAACCTTGTTGCCCATGATAAAGCTTACTTCTCAACAGGAAAGCAATATGTTCATGAAATTCCCCTACAATATGACTGATATAAGGTGTCCATTGAAGAAGTGTTAAAGGAGAATGTATATTTACAATTTCCGACTACCGAGCACACATTATTTGGAGAAACACATAAATGTTTTGTTGCTTGGACAAAAGACCTTGTAATAGTACATGGACATGTTTTTTTATTCTGTTATATATTTTATGTATTTATTTCATTTAATCATTTTTGTTTTAATGTTAAAGTATACATACAAATTGTGTTGCTATAGGTACTGACTAAAACTTCAAGTAAGGAGGGTAAAATTGTCAACACTAAAAAGCGCAACGTACAATACATACCACCTACATCGTTGAATACAAAAAACATGTTGAATAAGAGGAAAAATTAACGTAGCATTCATTTTATGACATATATTTTATTTTATGTTTGTATAGATGCTATGTATATTTTGATTGTAACATTTGTGTATATTATTTCAGTTGTATATATGATTAATGTTAATTTATTCTATTCTTGTTACTCCTGTAATATATATGTCCAACATTTTAATATTATCGTCGTCAATTCATTAATGTTACCAAATGTTAACTAGAACCATGGTCGTAAAGTTAAATATGGCTAAAGGGTAACAAATAGCCACACCAATTAGATAAAATGCAATGGTTTTAACAATTATGTGTCGCCAAAAGCAACCAATGGTCACATTTTTTTTCTTTATGATTTTCTTTATGTGGCTAAAGGTAACAAATAACCACATCAATTAAAAACAATGTGTTGCTATAACTAATATACAATGATGGTTTTAACAATAAAGTGTGGCCAAAAACAATCAATGGCCACATTCAATTCTTTATGAGTTTTATTTATGTGGCTAAATGATATCACATGTCACAGTATAATGTAAATAAATGTCACTAAAAGGTAACTAATAGAGTAAATTACACGAATGGTCCCTATGGTTTGCGGTAATTTGCGTGTTTGGTCCATATTTTATTTTTTTAACTCGGAAGGTCCCTACTGTTTGTTTTTGTTACGCGTTTGGTCCCTATTGTTTGTTTTTTGTTACACGCTTGGTCCCTATCTTACCTAAAAGGACTGTTATTTAAATAGGGAAAAATGGTGAGGTAGGTAAGGTAAGGTGAGGAGATGGGGTTAGGGGTGTATTTATTTAAATAAATTAAAAAATCAAGAGAAAAATAGTCTATTTAGGTAAGACAGAGACCAAACGCGTAACAAAAACAAACAGTAGGGACCTTCCGAGTTAAAAAAAAAGACAAAATTGCAAAAACGGTCCCCGTGGTTTCTTATTTTATGTGGTTATGGTCCAAACGTTTGAAAAGTTGCAGATTTGGTCCTTTTCAACAAGTTTTATTGTGGTTTTGGTCCCTCATCCGTTAAGTTTAACTGGTTGGCTGTTAACTTTTTCAAAATGACAATTTTACCCCCAGGGACCATTTTCGCAGTTTTGTCTTTTACCATACCATAAGGACCATTTTTGCATACATTCTTTTTTATTTTATTGAAGTATTATCTATTAATAAATATTATTTTTAATATATAATATTATATATTAATAAATATTGTTTTATTAGATTATTAATTTATTATAGTTGATTTTTTTTTGTTAGAGTAATTCTTTTTATTGAGTTATTATATATCCATACATATAGTTTTTAATATATAATATTTATATCATAATAAATATATTATTAGATTATTAATTTCTTTTAGTTAATATTTTTAATCCTTTTTATAAAATTATTTTTATTGGATTATTTAATTTATTATTTTCTTCATATACTAAATATTGTTTTATTTGATTATTAATTTATTTTAGTTAATTTTAAAAAAAAAACAATTGTCGAAGTAATTATTTTTTATTGAATTATTATATATCAATAAATATAGTTTTTAATGTATAATATTTATATCATAATAAATATTATATTATTGGATTATTATTATCTTTTAGTTAATTTTATAATTTTTTTAACTATTTTTTATTGGATTATTACTTTTAATTTATTATTTTCTTCATATACTAAATATTATTTTATTGGATTATTAATTTATTTTTAATTATAATAATAGTTCTTGTTAATTTTATTGGTTCCACCACAAAGTCATAGGATACGCAAAACCGTCGTCTCTCATCATCGAAATCGTTAGGATCACTGGCAAACACTTTCATTTCATCTAGCTTATAATGAGAAACCATAGGGAAAATACCACCACCATCACTCGGTCACCACCACCACTTATAAATGTTATAGGGGTTTGTTGCGCATTATGTAGGATATGAAGGATTACAGTGGATTATGAAGAGGTTGTCACAGGTGGCTACCAGCAACGCTAGGTGAAATAGGGTAGGGTATCTATTGAACCTCCAATGAAGGTGTTTGGAGGTGATCCTGCCAATTTTTGACGATGATAAGCGACACTTTTACGTATTTCAACGACTTTGTGGTGAAACTAATAAAATTAAAAACAATTAATAGTATACATTAAAAATAAAATAATAATCCAATAAGATAAAATTTATTATATTAGAAAAGTAATAAATTAAAAGTAATATTTCAACAAATTAATAATTCAAAAAAACAAATTACAAAGATTAATAATCCAGTAATGTATTATTTATTATGATGTAAATATTATATATTAAAAATAATATTTGTTGATATATAATAATCTAATAAAAAAATTGCACCAACAAAAAAGAAATTATAAAAAGAATCAATTAAAAGAAATTAATAATCCAATAAAATAATGTTTTGTAATATATAATAATCCCATAATATAATATTTATTATGATATAAATATTATATATATTAAAAACTATATGTACTGATATATAATAATTCAATAAAAAAGAATTACTTCAACAAAAAAATTAAAAGAAATATAATTAACTAAAATATATTAATAATCCAATAAAACAACATTTAGTATATGAAGAAAATAATTAATTAAAAGTAATAATACAATAAAAAATAATTAAAAATTACAAAAATTAACTAAAAAAATTGATAATCCAATAATATAATATTTATTATGATATAAATATTATATATTAAAAACTATATGTATTGATATATAATAATTCAATAAAAAAGAATTACTCCAACAATTTTTTTTTAAAATCAACTAAAATAAATTAATAATCCAATAAAAAATATTTATTATTATATAATATTATTTATTAAAAATAATATCTATTAATATATAATACTTCTATAAAATAAAAAAGAATAAAAAAGAATGTATGCAAAAATGGTCCTTATAGTATAGTAAAAGACAAAACTGCGAAAATGGTCTCTGGGGTTAAAATTGTCATTTTAAGGAAGTTAACGGATGAGGGACTAAAACCACAACAAAACTTGTTGAAAAGGACCAAATCTGCAACTTTTCAAACGTTTGGACCGTGGCCACATAAAATGAGAAACCACAGGGACTATTTTTGCAGTTTTGTCTTAAAAAAATAAGTTAGGAACCAAACACGCAAATTACCCTAAACCATAGGGACCATTCGTGTAGTTTACTCTAACTAGTAACCACATGAGTTAGAAAAAGGTGTTGATGTAACTAATATACAACGATGGTATTAACAATAAAGTGTGGCCAAAAGCAACCAATGGTCATATTCATATGTTTATGAGTTTTCTTTATGTGGATAAATGATATCATATGTTACAGTATAACGTAAATAAATGTCACTAAAGGTTAACTAATAGCAACATAAGTTAGAAAAAGGCGTTGCTATACGTACTATTCAACGATGATTTTAACAATTAAGTGTCGCCAAAAGCAACCAATGGTCACATTCATATGTTTATGAGTTTTCTTTATGTAGCTAAATGATATCATGTTATAGTATAAGGTAAATAAATGTCACTAAAGGATAACTAATAGCCACTTGAGTTAGAAAAAGGTGTGGCTATACGTACCATTCAACGATGGTTTTAACAAATATGTATGACGAAAAACAAACAATGGTCATATTTTTTTTCGTTATGTTATTTGTTCATGTGACTAAATGATTTTATAGGTCACACTTTACTGTAAATTAATGTGACTAAATGGTACCAAAAGGCCACATCAGTTAGAAAATAAGTGTTGCAATAAGTAATATTCAGTGTTTCTTTTCACAGTTATGTATCACTAATACCCAACCAATGGTCACATTATTTTCTTTAAAGTTTTTTTTATGTGACTAAGTGATATCTTAAGTCACGATTTAACATAAATAAATGTGACTAAAGGGTAAACAATAGCCACATCAAATATAAAGTAACCATGGTTAACACCAACTCGTCTCACGTGATACGTGACTAGAATGTAGATTATAGCCACACTTAAATGATGAATTTCAATGTGGCCGTAAGATACCAATGGTGTCACGACATACGGTCACACTTTGAAGAAAAAAATAAGTGTGGTTGTAGTATACGGTCACATTTTTTAGGCCTTAAAAAGTGTGGGTGTAAGTCATTTTTGTTGTAGTGACAAGTTCCAATTTTCATTTTATTTCAATAAAAGTGAAGTTTTGGTTTCCATAGTTGCCTTATGTTATTTCCTTGCGATGACATTAATGAAAGTGTTGGTTATGTTTCTAATAATAACAAAATTAATTGTAGATTTG